CAGTGAATTAAGTGACATATCGGATGAAAGTATAGCTGGATTACCACTGTCTGACTGACTGACTGAACCAGTGATTTAGATAATTGATCTCCCAGAAGGAGTCGCTGTGGGTCAAAATGATGTACGGCAGTCGTGATCGGAAGGCTCCGGTGAGTACCAGAAAAATCCGAAATCTTCGAAAAGTGCACTGCATCAAGTGGGACCCCGGCATCGCGGCCAAAGTATAACACCTACCGGCAGGATCGTCAAACTAAAAATGTCCGCTACCCTGGGCTCTTTCTACCGGAAGTGAAAAAAATTCAAAATTCGAATAAACAAGATGGCCGCCATACAAATTTCAGAGCCCCGTAGCTCGGCAAGTACTGGAGATGGGCGGGGGGTCCTCGACCAAATGTCATAGAGGGCGGTGGGGGTCAAAAAATTTTTTCAAGATGGCCGACTCAAAGTGGGGTCTTAAAATAAAAGTGCTCGGATCCGACTGAAATTTGGCATGCGGCCGTATATGGGAGTCCACAATAGGAAACTGGGGTCAAAATTTCGATTCCGCCATTTTCCAAGATGGCCGCCAAACATGTGAATTTTCTGCCCTTTGGAGTCATTTTTCTCCCAGAAGAAGTGCGGGTTGGTAAAAATGATGTAGGGGAATTATGGTCGGACAGGTTTGATGAGTATCAGAAGGTAAAGTAATCTTCGAAACGTGCTCCGCATCAGGTAGGACCCCAGCTGCCCGACCAAAGTACGCGTCTTGGCTCAAAGTGTCCAAACAAATGTTTATCCACACTGCGGGCAGTTTCCACCGGGAGTGAAAAAAATTAAAAATTCGAAAAACAAAATGGCCGTCATATAAATTTTGGGAGACGATGTCTCCGAAACTGTTATAAATAGGTAAATTATGTTCTGACTAATGTCAGAGTGGGCGATGGGAGCCAATCGGCTGTCAAATTTATTTTTTCAAAATGTCCAATTCAAGATAGTGGCCAGAAAAAACACCGATCGTGCTGAAATGTGGCAATTGGCCGTGTATAAGGAAGGCCCCATAATACGAAATTGTGTTTGTGGTTTTTGATTCCGCCATTTTTCAATATGGCCGCCGTACATTTTCCACCGTCCAACACCATTGCTCTCCGAGAACCAACCGGCGAAGTCTTTCCTACATTTAAAGTCACATGCCTCACATATAGCTCTCGCGGGCCGCTTTAGCTTTAGGTATATGGCTTCAAAAAAAATTGTCAAGGACCCTGGTGGTGTCTCTTATCCAAACCAACCCAACCAAAGAAAATTATCTTCTGAAATATTAAGTTCAACTCCCAATTTGCCACCAGATACAAAGAAAGCCCTCGCGGGCCGCTTTAGCGGCCCGGCGCATCGCGCGGCATCTAGTTATATTATATGGATGCGTTAAGACTGCAATTCTTTAAATATTGTACAGAAATATTTTTAAGTTGTACTCCACGAGAGTATACAAATAAAATCTTGTTACCATTATGAATAAAGGAGAGGCTGCACCTTGAATACTCGCACTGGGTTAATTTTGCACCACCATATTTTCGAGTAATTTACTTATTTTTGTCAATAATATTAATTGTCTAACATTCCTTTACAGATATACCAATACATCCAATCAAGGTTCTATAGGTCACCAGAGGTACTACTCGGTATACCGTACGACCTAGCGATAGACATGTGGTCCTTAGGCTGTATATTAGTGGAAATGCATACGGGAGAACCTCTCTTCAGTGGCGCCAACGAAGTCGATCAGATGAACAAGATTGTTGAGGTTTTAGGAATGCCTCCTGATAATTTATTAGATCAGGTACGGATGTCGTCATATTTTGGTATTGTGACTTGGGCCTCCGTAAGTTTACTAGACTCATGCGCCGTCTAGTGCTTTTCCTAGATCGGGGAAGGCAGGAAGGAATAATCTTATGGGGCCAAGGTATGACAAAATACTGTGCAGTGTTTGAGTGCTTACATTCAAAATGTTTAATTCTCTTTCAGGCTCACAAAACGAGAAAGTTTTTCGACAAGTTACCAGCTTCAGAAGGCGGTGGTTACGTATTAAAGAAAGTCACAGGCAAAGACGGGAGGTGAGTTTTAACTAACGTAGTAATCGATATGTCACTTCTTCCACATTTGCAACATGGCCTATAATAGTCGTTAGTATACAGGTTTCTGGTGTACAAAAAAGGTACCGCTATTACCGCTGTAGATTATCGTAGTAAATTTGCAAGACGAAAGTTCGTCTGTACATCTTTTAGGTACTCCCTCCTTTTTTGACGCCCCCTGTGGTCGAGTGGTTTGCACACCGGTTTTCATGGTGTTGCCATCTGAGGTCCAAGGTTATATCCCCGGCCGGGTTAATGTAGAAAACTAACTTTTCTATATTGTTTCCGATTTCCACTTACTTTGGGATCAGTGCAACGTATGTGATGTTGTCTGATATTTATTATTACGCCCGTGTTCCTAAGAAAATTTTTGCAAAGTTCATTTACCAAGCTGAGCCTCACTCTCACAATAATTATGAAAAGTGATGTGACGTGGGCATTACTTAGTTACAGGAAGTACCGGCCGCCGGGTACGCGGCGGCTGCACGAGATCCTCGGAGTGGAGGGCGGCGGCCCGGCCGCAAGGCGCCGCGGCGAGCCTGGCCACTCCGTCTCTGATTACCTCAAATTTAAGGTACGTACTACATTTTTCGCAGTTTCTTTTACAGTTTTGTGTCCTTGTCATTTCTCCTTTTTCTAGTATTTGAAATCCATGGACACAAACATAGACAACCACAAATTACACCCAAACTCACGAGGGAAATAAATATCGGCCATGCAAATATTTCTCCCGCCTCCGGAATCGAACCAGAGACCTCTGCCTGGCAGACTAATATGGTAACCGTTCAGTCACAGAGGCAGTTTGACTAATGACTTAACCACAAAAATAATTAACGTGAAACATCGAAAATCACAGATAACTACTGAAATTCAAAAGCAACAACCACGTCAATCAGTTCGCCTGCTATTACTTTAAAACTAAACTTCTTAAAGCGCTTATATTTTTTACTATCGGAACGGGATAGTCTTTCTCGCTTGCGCCATTGCACCACTCTCTCGTAATTGGACCTCAATCTGGTTCATCTGTCATTCGCATAATTGAAACGACGCTCATCTATTCACAGCTATTAAAGAGACAGTTTTAGTATATTTGCTATGACAATGACACCCGGCGATGAGCTGCTTGCTGTCGTCCAAAAAACTCTACGGCTCGAATAAAGTATTTCAAGTACATATGTTATTGAGGTGGATTAATGTACAACACATTAATGCTTATAGTTTGTGAAGTTACACGGTTGTGAGGTTTTCGAACTCCAATAAACAATTGCTCAGTTTTTCTAATTTCTTTAGACTTATCAAAATAAGAACGTATTGGCTGGACATATTGCTGTCCGATCTTCGAAATATGGTAAGTGTAACGTCGGTTGACGAATACCTATTCTGGAAGTTGTTAATTGATTCAGGTATTTTTATTATAATTTGATCAGCAGAAACAGTTATATTAAGAACACTAATCTTAGAGAGGGTCTGAACGCGATGTGCTGTAACAATAGCGAGTACGGTAACACGTTTCATTGTTACTTTTTCAAGTGGTAATGCATCATTTGGATACAGTGAAGCTAGATATTCTAAGAGTTTATCCCATGTCACATTATAGCGCCCTATGGGAGGCCTTAGTCTATACAAGCCTTTGAAAAAACGCGTGAGCCTTTCGTCTTGAACTAATGGACCGACTAATAAAGAAATAGCAGCTCTGTACCAATTTACTGTGCCATACTGGCTGCCACTGTTAAACACCTCGGTAAGGAATTCTATTATTATTGGAATAGACGGTTGGAACATATCCATATTATTATTATTACAATATAAAAATATTTTTTTGAAACAGCCTTCATATTGTTTCATGGTGTTGTCGGATAATGACGCTAGCATGTTTATGGCCGTCGCGGGTGTGTCTCATCGCTGTAATGCCATCCAGACAATACTGCTCCCACCAGGGTAATGCTGGCTTGTATGTTCCCGCTGCTGCAATGTGGAAAAATTAGGTGGTTGAAATCTAATGTTATTACATTGGATATAACTAAACAGGTAAACAAGGAGTACCATGGTTGGGACGGCCAAGTCGACACGACCATGATGCCCGTTGCTTTATCGGAAATAATTTTTCTCAAGGTTTTTAAAATGATTGCTACAGGGGGAAACGCATAAAAATAATTATTTGACCAGCTAATAGTAACTGTGTTTACAATAAACGCGTCCGGATCTCGGTGCCACGAGGCGTAAATATCACATTTGTTGTTAAAGCGGCAAGTAAAAAGATCAATTTGCGGATTACCAATTGTTTCTGTTAACAGCTTAAAACCTGCGTCTGTTAACTCGCAATCTACGTCTGGATGGGAGCATCTAGATTCGTGGTCTGCTAATACATTATCAGACGATTTAATGTATGATGTTATAACTTGTATTTTTCGGGTCTCACACCACTGCCAAATGTCCCTCGTGACTTTATTCAGGTGAGGAAATTGAAACCCACCCGTACGGTTTATATAGCTCAAGGCAGTGGTGTTATCTACCCTTAAACAATTATTGTAATTTTTTGTGAATATTTTGACGTCAAAATAAGCAGCTAAAAGTTCCAAATGGTTAATATGCAAAGTTCTCTCAGATGGAGACCATTGACAGCTGGCTGTCGGCCCATCACACACAGCCCCCCACCCCGTTGTTGAGGCGTCAGAATATATTTCAAGGTCTTAATTGTCATTTCTAATTCTGTGTACAGAAGTATTAATGGAGGTTATCCACCAGTGTAAATCTGGCAACAGGGAATCGGGTATAGTCATGATACGGTCATAGTCATCGTGACCTCTTAAGTTAAGATACTTCTAGCGCTCTAGTTCCTTTACATACAGCCAGGCGTACTCGACGGCTGGACAAGCTGATACTAATACACCTACAAATTGTGCAAACCCTCTGATAGTACACTGATTTAAGCGAACGAAAACTTGAAGTTCTTTCATAATACGTTCCCTTTTCTCTAAAGGTAATGAAGTTCTTTCATAATACGTTCCCTTTTCTCTAAAGGTAAGCTTACTTGCACGTTTGCGTGTCTGCTATATAGCCGAGATACAGGCAACGTTTTAGTAGATACATACCTTTATCTAATTTTTTGGTTATTTATAATAAAACCGAGTGCTTTTAATAACTCGCAAGTTATTTTTACGTTTTCCTGACATTCATAGTAAGTTTTTCCAACGAGATATATATCATCTTAAGTATATAGAAGACAAGAAACCACATGATCTTAGGAGTTTCATAATAGGTTTTATTGATTTGGTAAAAATAAAGGGAGCCACACGGTAAAAACAGATTACTTAGAAAAAGACAAAATTCTTTATATGAAGACAAATTTATTAAATCCAACAAAACGATCCTCTCCCTATAGACGCTAGAGAATAATTACTTGATAATAGTAAAAAAAACGTCTCAAAAGTGTATTTTTGTTATAAGACAGAAATATTTAATCCAAGAGCAAATTAATTTACTTCAAGTCACAAAGCCACTCTAGATTCAACAAAATATTTGTTTGTTATTAGAAATGTCCGATTTTGATTTGAAAAAAAAAAAAAAGAATGAAAAATTAAGAGATACTTAATTATTTGACTGAAGATTTATGTTCTCTAATATCAAAAAGGGTAAATTTACAGGGTTATGGACCCAACAGTATGTATGTCTCACTGGCGTGAAAGCACACCAGTTCAGTGCCAAACCATACTTGAGGACCATTCAGTGCCGTATAAATGCTACAGCGGCAGAAAGCACTAACAATTCAAAAATGAGATGACTTTATACTATTGAAGTTAACAAAACGATAGCGCGTTTCAGAGTACAACTAATGCCATCTAGCAGTGGCGTGATGGAACTAATTGCATGTTAAAGTTGTGCTTGTTTCAAATGTAGTTTGATTTCATGCTGTAACCAAATTTCTTAAAATATGACTATAAATAAAATCATGACAAACTAGAGATACTACGTATTGTTTCTTTGGATAAATGACTGTTTATGATTACAAGCACAAGTAAAAGTAAACGTTACCGTGTGCGGCTTCGACGACATGTCACGACATCATTGACTATAAAAACGCAACGAAATGTTGCTTTAAGAATATAATCTAGAATTTAGAATATTAATCTGAATAGAAAACTACTTCTTTTTTGTTTAAGAATATATTTTTTTTAAATACACCCAAGAAATTTTGAATTCATTTAAGATTATTTAAATTTGATGTAAGAGGTAAAAATTTCTTGATGTAAATAATGTCCAATTAATTGATTAGAAATGAAATAAAATCTTGAAGTGAACATATTTGTCTCAAAGTTAGAATAAAGTTAAGAGTAAAATTATATTAGAAAAAGATAAGCAGTATCTTTGTAATGACAATATTTTATTACTTTTAACAAATATTTTTTCAGAATTAGCAAATATTTTGAGAAATTGCTCTTTCTTATTAGTAGAAATCCTTTTTTTCTGTGGCATGCAAAGTCCAAAAGGAAGACCGTTAAATTCGAACATACGTGTATTATACTCGTCCTCCAATATAAATCTGAGGTATTTACGCGAATCGGGATGTATTTTTTATTAAAAATACGCATCTTTCAAATCTATCATGGCCGAATAGTAATCTTTACCTATAATCTTAAGAACAGTATGCAGATCTTCCAGCTTAAAATGTTGCGTGTTTATGAATTTGTTTAGGGCTTCTAAATTTAATGTAAATCTCATATCGCCATTCGGCTTTGGTATTAAAAAGACACGAGATACGAATTGCCCGGGAGATGGTCCACATCGGGTAATGGCACCTATTGATAGCAAGTTACTGTTGGCTTCGTTATAGCGTATACTTTCCAATTCAAATAAAAAATTCAAAAATGGTTGATGTACCGGACTATTGAATTGAATATTATACCCATTTACCCAAGATAGCAGAGTTCGGTCACGGGTAATCTGGGACCATCGATCAAAAAGGAAGCGGAACCTGCCAGCAAAGCCTACCAGTGAATCCGTCGAGGGTGCAGATGAGGCTGGCGCGACTAGCGGGTCCTCGTCTGTTTGGTGCGCTGCGACGAAACGCGCGTTGAGCTGGCGGGCGCCCATCTGTTGCTGCCGGCCACCGTGGGCGGTGGGGGCGGCGGCGGCTGAGGGCGGCGAGCGGGGCCCGGTGCTGCTCTGCGGTTGCCAGACCCCGCCTTCCAGTTTAAATTCCTCGCAGAATGTGAGGCAGGCTTCGTTTTCTTGGGTACTTCCATTTTTAGGTCAGAGCTGGATTTCGTGACGGCTTTTGCCGATCGAAGAGTCTCGGGGAGGTCTTCTCCGAAAAGATGCGTATCTATCTTGCCTCTGGTCAGCTGTTCCTTCATATCCTTCTTCAAAGAATACAACGCAAATTTTTTTCTGAGTACGCATTCACTGTATTATTTATCGCACATAATATGTTCATTTTAGTTAATCCATGAGTTGTCTCAATAATTCATGATTTTTGTTTTTCTCGTTGAGAAGAGTCGAAATAGTTTGAAGTAGACATGAAATAGCGGCTGCAATTTCTGTCTGTCGAGCTTCCATAGCTCTGTCTCCCCCATACCACCGTATCGGAAACTGCTGCCTTGATTGCAGGGTTAAGTCGCGGAGCGCCTGTGAGAGCAGTTCGCCGGAACAAGATACTTCTCCATCAACGGTTTCCGGTTTCCTTTTCCTAAACCTTTAGTAACAATATGATTGAAACGGTTAGCCAGGACCTTATTAATATCGGTGCCATATTTTTGCACAGCGGCCGGGTCCGTTCCGAGAATATCTAGGATGTCAGGATCCAGCTCTTCGTCTGCGTGTTCCAACACCAGCGTTGACGGCAACTCAACAGCGGCGGCGGCGGCGGCGGCGGCGATGACGGTGGCGGAGGTGGAGATGGCGGCGCCAGTCGCTTGCGTGTGCAGTGTGGCCAAGGCAAGCGTGACGAGTTCGGCTGCGGCATCGGCGGTAACCTCTTCGGGTATCGTGGGCTAGGAAATTACTCGGTCTGTGAACGAGACCACAAGGATTCATTAAAAGCGATATAGTCTAGCTGACTATTCTGAGTATTAACGAATTTTATGCGTCGAAACAATCCCTCAGATTGCTTTTCACGCATATCACCATCATGCATCGAAACAGTCCCACAGACTGATCTGGGCAGATGTCAGCGAAGTAGCCCCGCAGACTATTCTGATTGCATGTCAAACTTGTAGTAATTATAATCACAAAAACCACAAAAAGTACAAATCCAGCGAAGTACTCCCCCAGACTATTCTGATTGCATTGCGTACTTTGTGCTAAAAGCACTTTAACACTTAAATATGGTAAAATTTAACACTGAACTAACCTTGATTTACTTCCGGAGTTAGCGTCGAGTCTCTCGGTGTCGAGTGGAGATCGCTGCTGGAGCTCGATATGTACGATGAAGAAGATTCACTTGATTGTATGTGCCGACGCGGCCGGCCGTCGGATACACTTAATCACTTTTTCCAATTTTCGTATTTTTTTCGATAAAATATTGACGGTAGTTTCATTACGTCTTTTTGGCATTTTGGTAGAGTGCGAAGTGGATGAGCGCTAAATTGCGAATGAAGCGGGAAAAATGAGCAAGTGACAGTACACAAAGTTTTCTTATTTATTTATTTTTTTAAACCATATTGCCGAAGTGGCACCACTACGCGACACTACATTGTGTTAATAATAATTTAGGGAATACTAATCTCGAGGACGAGACACGAGTATAATTGAATCGAATTGTGTTATATGCACTTATCGTCACTGCTAGAAACAACCTAGACTGCTTGCTCTGGGTTCTATCTCAGATTCTTGGTAGGTACCAAAATCCTCCATAGCGCCGTGGTAAGGGTTTGTCACAGTCTCTTGGACATTGACAATAATAAATAAATGTATAGGACCCTGGAGATATCGCAATAGCGCATTTGTCAATGAACGAATTTGCTCAAGTGCCTATTCACTCTCACGTTGAAAAGGCCTACATTGTATCGGAGAACATATATGGTTCGCAACCGTATTGTATAAAGCGCCGTATTACATTACGGCTAGCTGGTTTGCAAAACGGCGCTGTTTTCTAATACGGCTACCTCATGTTCAACCAGATTGTGATCACGATACGTTGTACAAAGCGGCGGCCAACGTTTAGCCGTATTGTTCACAGGGAAAATGTCGTGGCCGTTGTACTTGTCTGTTCGATACTAGAGTGTAATTTAAAAGCCAAAGGTGCCGGGAGAGTAGTGTCTGTTTTCCATAATACAGTTAATAAACTGACTCTTCGTTTTCGACAAAATAATTATTGTTACACACTGGTTTCCATGGTGGTTTAAAAGACAAGATAACAGATTTAAAAGAACAAATGAATTTTGCATAGTGGAAATCTTGTCTGCGACCCCTATTCAGTAGGTTAAGTTAGTATATGAAAAAGCAGCCAGAAACGAATTTGTTTACATTTCCGAACATATTTTTAGGTCAAATCGCATTGTAATTAATATAATTTACGATAAAAACTTCTAATAATAGTTTTCGGTACAATATAAATTAAGTTGGTAGAGTAGTATTCATCAACTTTCAGTATTTCGTTCGGTTTTTTTCGTATTTTTATTTGCACAAATGTTTTCGTAGCTAGTAAATAACACAGTAATATTGATATTTTGAATAAGCTCTTTTTTAATTTACTTTTATAAGCTTTTATTACTACCCGTTTTTTTAGGAAGAGTAATTATGACAAGAGGAATAATTTGTTACTTATGTTCACCATTATTCACTATTTTCACGCATATTTTTACTTTTTCCACACCTAAAACTAGTATTGTTTGCACTTTGTTGAAATAGTTGCTGTTTGGGACGCAATTTTTGTTGTTATGATAATGTAGCTCTACTGGCGGCTATATTTGGAACTAAGTATCTCAAAGCAGCTAACAATGACGCGCCCCGCGCCCTATTGTATTCTGGCGGCACGTTTCTTAGTCGCTTTCTGAAACGCCACGTGCTCTTACAATGCGTCGTATTTTTTTTAGGCGAATTGCAATCCAGCCGAACAGGAGGTAGCCGTATTAGAAAACAGCGCCGTTTTGCATAGTGTTTTATAATACGGCTCTTTCAAAGGTTGGCTTTCGGCTCGACTCAAAGGTTTCCACTCCTACTACTCTTCTTTGTAGCTTTTCTAAATATGTAACTGCCGCCGTGGCCGAACGCTTACCATGCCGGACTGCCACCCAGAGGTCTCGGGTTCGATTCCCGGGCCGGGAGAAATATTTGTATGGCTTACATTTTTTATTTCTCTCGTGAGTTTGGGTGTAATTTGTGCTTGTCTATGTGTGTATCCATGGCACCCGCGATACGGGATTTCCTTAGTGCGGGGCTATGAGTGTGTGCGCGTTATTATTATTGTTACTTTGATTTATTACACTAAAACATATTCACAATCATAATTTTCACTTACAGTTACACTTATATATTCAAACCCGCACATATTGAATAGGTTACTTTAGTTGCACTATTCACACTTTATTACATTTATCATTTTAATAATCAATTTCCCCCCCTAGTCGTTTATTAGATCTTTCATTACAAACAACTTCTAGATTTAGTACCTCTCGTTGGTTCTTACCGCCTTTATATGCTGAGTCAGCGCCATTTCACTGCTATGGCAAAAAATGTTTTATTTTTCCTGTTGTATTCAATCTTTATTTGTACCATACTAGTGAATAAAGTGTTTATCTATCTATCACATCTTAAGGTGGACACACGTTGGACGGAGGAGTACTTACTTATTCACTATACATATACCATTGGAGTATAACTTGGCCGTTATAGACGAAATTTTTGTATCGCTACACAGTTTCACAAAATTTATCCTTTTAATTGCAGGATCTAATTCTTCGCATGCTGGAATACGATCCTAAACAACGGGTGACACCGTACTATGCGCTGCAGCACAATTTCTTCAAGAGAACTGCCGACGAATCGACAAACACGCAACAAGCACAGTCACATCATCAGCACGGTGAGTAATTGCTTCTTTATTACTACTGTTTGAATAGTGATGTTAAGATGGCAATTTGTACTGAAGTGACGTACAAATATTATAGCCATATTTTAAAACATTTAAGACGTCTTAAATCAAGCAAGCATTTACAACCAACAGACATCTGTTGGCTGTAAATACTATATTATATAATATCTACATTTGGAACATTGGCGTAAGGAAGAAAATACTGTTATGAATTTCTCGATATTCAGAACTTTCCAATGTCGTAATACATCCGATAACAAAATAGAATGTGTTGCATCATCTATTTCGTGCAAGCTACATGGCAATGTTACAGGTGTAGATGTAAATGGTCAACAAAGCAATTCTAGAGATATCAGAATGGAACCGAAACTAATTTGTTTGTAACATAAATTTAAACCATTAACAGGTTAAATTCGAGACATGGTCTCCATTTTTAAGTTAATTTGACTTTTTACGCCATAAGTCCATTCAACCTGCTAAAGCTTTAGGTTAGCTTACCGTTAATATCACTTTCCTTATAGGAGAATATTTCAGCCGTGGAGGTTGATGCTGACAATAAGGGAATCTCCACACTTCTCGTCACGGGGTCGTATTAAGCCGGTCAGAAAAACCTTATGTCCATAATTATAATAAGAGCTAAAATGACGTGCGTTTCGCATGCGCAAATCCTACAAGGAAACGTAACCGAAACGTCTTATCACTCTTATTGCATGGATATATAGATTTTTCTGACCGGCTTAATGCGATTCCGTGTGAACAAATGTAGTGAGTTCCTAATATTACATTATTATTATTGCCAGCTTTTGAATACCAATGTATTTCCCTAAATAAATGAATTATGAAATAAACTAAATAAATGATTACCGCTCGTTCTGGTAACTCTAAGAATTTCTATATTACAAAATCCGCGATTGGTTGAGACGGTGATGAAAGGTAAAGGTATTGATTGGCCTTAGTTGTGATTGGGTGTTACTTGGGTTCAATTGTCGTAATTCATGTAGATACATCGTAACTTCATTCCGAGCTTGTATCGTGCGTCATTCTTCGCTAACACATAACGCTTTCATCATTTCATTTCGACTGATCAGCTTACTAACAAAATTTCTCCCTTACACGAGATGTAAAAATTTGTATATGAAAATCATTTTTCCAAAAATCTATGACCAGGTCTCACAATCGATTCTGAAAGATTGCTCAATAAGTTACAAAGATTATTTTTAAGGATTTTAAACTTGCTCCATCAATCTTTCAGATTTGCGCAACTGTCATGACCTACTAATACCCTCAAACAATATTTTTTATTTGTTGATTGTTCATGGTAATATCTAGTTTATAGAAAATTTTTAATCACACATTTAAAAATAAAGTACTTAGGGAGCCACACTTATCGATAAGGGAGCATTAAGCCGGACAGAAAAAAAATTATGTCCATGTAATACAACGAAAAAGACGTTGTACGTTTCCCATCGACTCGTACGACGCAGCTCGACACTGAATCTGCAACGAACCGACGGCGTCATCGACACCCGAATGGCTGCGTCGACGGCCGAACAACTCCGAAAGTGCGAAGACCACGTTTCATACCCCAAATCTTAGATGAGGGCTGAACGGCAGCATAAAAGCCCAAGCGACCGCGCCGACACTCGATTAACCGCGTCGACGGTGAATCGGCTTAATGCTATAAGTATGGTATAACACGATCATCTCAAGCCGATCCCGCGTCGATAAATGTGGTGACTTCCTTACTGGGCGTAAACATTACCAATAACCCTATATTTAGTGACAATTTGTCACCCAATCATTAGAGCAATTAGATCAGAAAACTTTATCGTTATAACTGTGTGCACGCATCCTATAATTACTACATATCCGTTGATTTTCTATTATCTACAAACAAAACATACAATGAACAATTAACATATTAGGTACACCTTGAAGATATAACATGCTTGTAACCCTGAAAGTTAAATAACATGTGAAAATAACGGCGATGTTCCGTGGCAGATGGCCCATCGGACTCGCGATGACTAGAGCGGGCCGGCGGCCCGGGCTCGCGCCACTAGCCGCCGCGTCATTACTATAGTCAGGTCTGCCCACTTACTCTCAGAATGTTAACATAGTCATATAATCATATGCTGGTCCAAGCCACCTTACTACTACCCTACACTACTTCTGCAAAATACATTAAAATAATATTAACTACTCAGTTCGAAAAAAAGGAAACTCGTGAATAGCGGGAGCATTATTTTTCTAAGTTGACACATTTAGATGTCGATAATCCTGCTTAGAAGTTTTTGGACCAGTTTAGGATTGTTCATTATTATATAACCCACGCTTCTCGTCCGATGTCGATCCCTTGACAGCATGCCTTTCGTTCGTGGTTGCATGGCTTTCAACTCCGCATTTGTGTCTGCCAAGATTCATTGCTAAATTCTGTGGCTCTAGTGAAAATGGGTACAAGTCAAAAATGTTTGATATCATATTAAGTCAACTTTACAAGGAAACACGAAATAAATTAACGCTTAATATGATATTAAGCCAACTTTACAAGGAAACGCGGAAAATACTTAACGCTTCATATCATTTAAGCTTTAACTGTTTTTCGCGTCTCCTTATAAATTTGGGATTTTTACTTGTATCCCATTTCACTAGAGCCACAGAATTGTGAATTATTTGAGCAGATGCAATATGTGGGCAACGGTTTTATCGAAATCTACAACTTATGATCAAAAGGCAGACAAAAGACTTTTTTTTTCAAATTGTAAATTTCGATTAAATAAAGCGTTTTTTTTGTAATTTTATGTCAATTGCCTTTTTTATGTACCTACCTGTAGGTGATAGTTTCGCTTTTAATGTGTTACAATATTTCATAGAGGACCCTCATCTCATAATTACGTTAGTCCATTGAAATAGTAGTATTACTAGTTGCGGATTTCAAAAGAAGCAGGAATCCTAAGCCTTTAGTACCCAGTACATGATTCTCTTCAGTAGCGATCCCGAAATGTCCTAGTAACAAAATTAAGCGCGGGTTGCTAAGTTTGTTATGATAATAACGGTTATATTGTGTTGGGCAGTGAGCGGTGCGCGCGTGTGGGGAGGCGCCGAGCGCATGGAGGTGGAGAGCGTGCGGCGCGACGATGACATGCTGCAGCCCGTGTGCCAGCTTCAGCACAGTCCCGTGGCCATCCACTAGTACGGCCTGCGCCAGACGCGCCACTCGTACCGCCAGCGCGCCGACGTCTGACAGCCGCGGCACCAGCGCGGCCTGCCGGCGCCGCTAAGACCCACATCGAGTCGTGGCCGCGCAGGCGGGCCGCAGTCGCGACTCGATCGCGATGCGACTACCCACGACGGTGCTCTACGCGTTGTTCTGTAACAGCGAAATGACATCTGTCACTTGGTGTTCCAGAGTGACCGTAGTTTAATCACGGCGAATCGAGAGGAACCTCGAAGAACTGCCACTTGACTCGAACCGAGGAGAAAATGTGCTCAAATGAATAAAATGGTGTTGAAGGTTGTGTGATTGACGAAATTGTGAAATTAGGTAAAATGCGACGAGTGTGACGAGATGCGTTGAACTGTGCCGAACTGACGAAACTGTTTTAACGAGGCTCTAGCATTTGTAAAGCTGACGAAGACATGCGTGAAAGTTGGTGTAGTGTAAGTAAAATTGAATAACTCTATATAATAGTTATATAGAGAGCTGCGCCGTTCATCGGCGTTAGTGAATAATTATAGAACTTTTGAACTGACATAAACATAATTTATAGTTCTATATTTTTATTTAATGCGATAAGTCTGACTGTAAAGAAATTAATACATTTGTTACTTTGTAACATTGTATGATTTGTTCTTAATTATTGCTTCACCGTACTTAGAGAAGATTCCGTACGATCACATAATGATCCTTACACAAATTCCGAAGCATCGAGTGCATAAAGGCTAGGTTTTTTTATTGTTACGCAATGCATATCAAGGACGCAATATGGTAGAAAATAAATATTGTATATAAAATGTAGGAAACAGACTAATTACAGACTGGAACTTAAACTTAGTTACGACCTATGCTAGTTAAGCTTTCATTCGGTTTTATTATTATCGCAAGCTTTATAATTTTAAAGTGTCGGCAACTGATGACTGAAATTCAAAGGGCCAACATAATTCGTTTTCCTATTTACTCTCAATAATTAGACTTGTTTTCATGATTTAACATTTTAAGCGCAAATTGGTTGGATTTGTCATTACGTAAAATTGTTTTTAAACTATGCCCTCGCATTACAGAGTTGTATAAATGTAAATGTGTCATTCTAAATCTCAGCTACAAGTTTGTTTTAAAATAATTATTTTGGGTTGTTTTTACCCACTGGATTATACAGAAGACATGTACGACATATAGTGTATAGGTAATTCTATAAAATCACAAATGTACTTGTAGGTTACGAGAATGTTGAATCATATATAAAATTTTTGGGTATTTCAGATAGGTAATAAAATTGAATAACTGACTTGTTCAACCTTTTGGATTTGAATCTACAATAGACTAACCTCATTGCAACAGACTGGTCGAAACTTTGTAACAGAGATATTTTGTATAGAGAACACTGAATCACTGCCGTATAGTGCCGGATATTTTTATGAGTAAGGCCTGCTGCCCTCGCTGGCTTTCTCTGTCCGATATATACAATATTGGTACCTTAGTTTGGTGCAAGTAATATGAAGTAACGAGATGTGCGTTTGTATTTTGAATACGAAACATGTTCCAAATGGTGTTTTATATATATTGCTCACACATAAATGTAAGCGTCCATAAATGTCCACGTAGGCGGACGAGGCCGCGCGAGCACCAGGCTTGCGATTAGCAACATTATTCTGAACTATATGTGACTATAAATCTTTGATTCCATTAACTTTAATTTGAATGTAACCATGACTGAAGTGACTATGTTCAAAATGAAGCCGCTAAAGCAATTCACAGCAGATTTTTATTGTACAGCAAAATATTGCTGTGGTATTTATAAAACTTCCTTTTAGAATTGTATTGTATACACAGTGTTGTATGGTACAATTATTTATTTCTGTACATGAAGCATGAAAGTATTTTCTTACTTTTGTCAAGGGAGAAGTTCTCCATACTTGTATTTTTTCATATTTCATTGTAGATCTAATGAATTAATCTATCCTAATCTCTCTATTTTGTACTGTAAATTGTCGAAATATCTGTGTAATATTTACTATAATACTTTTCTGCTTCATGGGATTAAAGGATTGTTAGAGTGAGTGTGACGTGTAGGGTTGAAAGATTGTTTTATTTATACGAAAAACCTTTGAAGGCAGATTTCCTTGTCTCGCTCGCGGTATTTACCTGATAACTTAAGAAATCGTTGTTCCTATTGTATACGCACATATACCAGTATTTTTGTTCCACTCTTTAACATTATATTATGGTGGAAATATTATTCTTTAGTTGCAAAAATCTATGTGTTCATCAGTTTAAGATGTTTAGTTCAATTCTTTAGGTAAATGTTTTATTTATTTTATTAGACAAGGTTTTTAGAGTATTTCATGCGATTCAGTAGTTTTACGAAGCGTTGTAATGTGTGATGGGGAAATTTGGGAAATCTGCCTCATTTCTGCACGACATCCTAGTCGCGGAACGTCAAGCTATTCCAATTACTCAAGATTGGCCCTAGATGTTTGCGCTTGAGTTTGTAATATACTATTCTATTTCTTTGTACTACCAATATGGGAATGTGTGAAGTGAAAGTGCGCGAGGAGCTATGATGTTTATTTCCTATCGATTGTCAGTTCGCAGGCACTGTAACAATAAAAGGATAGAGCTTTATGTCACTAAGTTTTGTATTTTAAATCAATAAACGATAGCAATGATTTATTTGCTTTTATTTTCCACCTAATTTGTAATCTATAATTTTAACTAATTAGTCCTAAGGTAACGTAAAATGCGCTCTCCGAGTAAAAAAAAATCGCTTGACTGCAATCGGCACACAATGGGCCCAAATTGATAATTCTCGGACATAGGAATAACTTGTGGAATATCGAGCTAATTTTTCTTATGTGATGGATAATAACATTCTTAACAACTTTTATTCTTGTATAATTTTTTGAAAAGTTGATAATTTCGGAGAAAAAATATTTTTTTTATTTATGTTGAAATATACATTTTATTTTTTATCTCAAAATATACGAAAATGTAATGTGCTTGGGTTACTTACATTATAGTTCCAATCATTAACTAAATACATGAGCTACGACTAAAGAAAAATCAATTTTAGTATAATTTAGAGAATGTTATAAGAATAACACAAAAATTTAGTAGAAACTAGTAAATTGTGTTAAAAAATAAATGACAAATCTAAAATTTTGCCACCTTTTTACTCGTAAGGGCGCAAGTACCTGCAGATGGATTATTTTTTCTTGATAGAGAATGATTGGACCTATACTGTAAATAAACCACACACATTAGATTTTCCTACATTTCGAGATAAAAAATAAAATGTTTAATTCTCCAGCAAATGACAGGCATAATTATTTTATGCCTGTCATTTGCTGCTGACCAGTCCACATTGTCAATAGGTAACTAGTCCGACAGAACACTGCTTCGACAAAACAAACATTCGTTAGGTCACTACACCGACAGAAAACACGACAACACGTGTATTCGACAGAACATAAAATATTTAATATAAATATTTGATGTGCTGGGAGACCACTTAATTCTTGAGCAGAACATCTCGTATACGTAAATATGTCTGAGAAATAATGAATAACTAATTAAGCAGTTATTGTCGATTTCATGTTCTGTCGAAATAGTGACCTGTCGAATATATGTATGTGTTATCGAAGTAGTTTTCTGTCGGTGTAGTGACCTACCTATCGAATATGTATGTTGTCTAAGCAGTTATCTGTCATGCACAAAGTACTCTTTGGATCAGTCGGACTGCTACCTGTCGAACATGATATGTGTAATGACGGCAGCATATCAAGCTACATTGACGAATCTTGTTACGTTGGTCTGGAGGTGATATTCGAACAAGAGCGTATAGCTCGATGTGCTGTTTGTTGACTGTATATTGTGGGCGATCAAATTTTATTCTCATAGATCTTTCATCCAGTGATTCTTTCATTTCTTTTCTTGACACCCCAACTACGCCAGTCTGAAGTTCTGAATCAAATATGAAGTCAACCGTGCCAGTTGACATTTTTACGGAAAATGTGAGTCTAAGCCTTAGAGGATGGAAAAACAGGTCTAAGCTGGTTGGAGCGAAGGGTTTTGGTGTTACGTTATAGTAAAGGAAAACTAAAATGAAAAAAGCGCTATCTATGAAAACTTGATTGAACTGTTTTAAATGTCTAAGAAAAACATTTATGCTAGTATAGATGGCGCTAACACTAAACGCAAGGAAGAGCCGTACCGTGCAACGTGGGGAAAAAAGCGGAACGGAAAAAAATCAAATGTCGTATTATGTGTAAATAAAAAAGAAATGAAGTTAAACATTTAGTTCTTAGGTTTTCGCGATTGTTACACATAGGAAATGAAACTATTTAATAAAACAAATATACGCGATTTAAATCCGGAAAAATAGTTTCATTTCCTATGTTAAACATTTAGTTTTTGTATAATTATTTCGTTTTAACTTGCTGAAGTATTCATAAAAAAAAACTTGATTGCCTTCAGGCTTAGTAAGAATCTATGGCAAATCGTAATGATTTTTGGGTAATTTTCAGGTAAATTTTTTGTACTTAATTTTGGTGATAAATTTCTTTTTAATGAAATATTTGTAGAATATCATCACGTAGATAATTAATATTCGAGTGTAGTAACCTGTAATATTCTTTTATATTTCACGATGATATCTAATCGAATAATTAACTAGTAAAAAATTGTCACCAAAACGTACAACCTGAAAATTACTGGTTTTATGCTACGAGTTAAATAAAATAATTTATGGGATTATACTAATTTGTTGTGCTTTTTGAAGGCTTTTTGTTTATGTTTCAGTTAGTGCTTTCATCGTTTCAATATTTTCAATGTATAGTTACCTACATATGTAGATACAAAAGGTCATACAAAGATTCAAGTACATACATAACAAGAATAATAAAATATTACGCGCACATATGTAACCAAAATTGAGAAAATTTCGTTGAACTTATTTTTTACTCATGAAGAAACAGTAATTTCGCTTCCAAACTGTACAAAATAATATAATGTTTCTCCTTTATTTGTATTATGTATTTATTGTTTATTTACATCTCATGTTTCGTCGCCTGATCCCTTCTTCTCACTCTTTCTCCACCTTCCTAATATCTTTCCCAAACTCTTTTTATGAGTTCCTCTCTTTAAAAACAATAAATGGCTGAGCAACCGAAGCCAAGCAGCAAAAAAAAAGATAAGGCAAAAGGTAATTGAAAGTTCGGCGCTTGCAACACTGATACAAAGTGAGTTGACGTTTTTCATTGTCTAGGTTATATTTTATTCGTCGACTACGGTATTTTGAAGTAATTTTTAATTAATTCTCGACGAAAATGGCTAACATTAATCTACAATGCTTGTTGGGAATACAGTGCAATGATTTTGTGATGATAGCGGCTGACCAGTCGGCTAGCCACAGTATTATGGTGATGAAAGATGGTGAGTTTGCGGTTTTTGGCAAACATCTTCGTTTAGCGTCAGTTCGGATTCTAATACTTATTCATGATTATAGATGAGAACAAGATCTACAAAATATCCGATAGGTTGGCGATGGGTGTCATAGGTGACACTGGTGATACGACACAGTTCGCCGAATATATCGCTAAGAACATTCAGCTTTACAAGATGCGCAATGGCTATGAGCTGGGGCCTACGGCGGCTGCTAACTTCACTCGTCGAAACCTTGCCGAGTATCTTAGAAGCAGTGTAAGTATCTTAGAACCTTTTGACACACTTTTGCCATAGCACACTTTTCACATAGCAGTGTAATTATTAAAAGGTAACAGGTTGAATTTTGGAATATATCTACAGTATGTTTTTAATTTAACGTCTCATGAAAAAGTACTTGGTATTTGGTGTAACAGGCTAGTGTCCGCAACTCGACGTCAAGGCGCCTATTTTGTGTCTGGAAAAGTATGTGCCACTTTTTATAGCACAGTATTTTTACAGAAGGTAGTTGGGTGCTGTAAACAGTGCAAATCAGGGCTCTGTCACTCACTCAAGGTTACACAATTGGCACCTACAGACAATGGCACAAGCAGTTGTACAAGTCTTTCATTTATAAGCATTCGGCTCTGCACAACTGCACATGGTGGGCAATGTTATTTTCACCTCTCTGTGCATGTGCTTAGATTCCTTTTTCCTGATAGTCAGTGCCTGGTGACATTGTTCAGAATTAGTAGGCAATTATAGTGCAGGTATTTTCAATTTTATATGAGAGTGATATATCTGTTATGTAGTAACTACTTAGTAAGGTATTTGAAGTTGGTAAGTATAAACTAGCATCAGTAGCTGTGTATTTTTGCAAAAGAGGTTCAAAAATATATATAATTATTATATTACAGATATGTCTATATAAAGTTATAGAAATATCCCACAAAATCAGTATTTAAGTCTTATGAATATTAAGTTGTGGCAGTAACTTTTGTACCTGTCGACCTGTTTGGTCACCAACCCTTAAGGAGATGTCTATGTTAGACAGTGAAATAGTAATTTGATATGACAACACAATGTAAAGCAAACTAATCAACAATAATAATGTTTTATATCAGACATCTATGATTTCAAGACTGTATTGGTTTTAATATTTCAGAGTCCATATTTTGTAAATTTGTTGATGGCTGGTTATGACAAAGAGAATGGTCCAGAGCTGTACTTTATGGATTACCTAGCATCCAGTGTGAAGGTACCATTTGCAGCTCATGGTTTTGGTGGTTACTTGAGCTTGAGCGTCTTGGACCGTTACTATAAGAGAGGTAAATATACATTTCTAATATAAGTATATATACATAGGCTTCTTTGTTGTTGATATGTAGGATGATTTCTACATTTAAAAGAAAAATGTTTCATTTAGTCATATTATTCCCAAAACATACCTCATAGAGTTGAGAAAATGATTAGTTTAAAACAATATTTCCTTGCATTTATGTTTATTGATTTTCGAATAAACATATTTACTCCAACCATAAGGTACATAAACTTCTTCATATAATTTTTTTTAAGTAGAGTATAAGAGTTGAGTTTTCAAATTGTTTAGAACCTACCTGCACATTATTTATGTAGCTATCAGCTACAGAAAAAGCAAGAACATACTTTGGATTATTATTATTAGTCGTTGGGTTTTATTACATGAAGCGTCTTCCAATTGTGTTGATGGCATGCACTATAATTTTTTGAAATAGTGGTGATAGGATTTGCCGATCGGTGTAAGGTACTTGCCAAAGTCTGCCTCCTGCGAATAGTTAATCGCGCCCGTACGCAGCCGACGACGGCTGATCGGCGGCGTCGCCACTCGTACTCGCCCTCTTCGACGCTCCTACGTTGTGGTTGCGTCGTGCGTTGGAGTCGGAATGGCCGCGTCAACACCTGAGTGCCAGCGACAACGCCCGAATGATAGAATAGCGGAAATCGAAAAGCAGGGAAGTAGGGTAGGGACCCTCCGGTATGACTTGGTGTAAATGCGCCTTTAGTTTCGTGCGCGAACGCCCGCGTGTCATCAACTCTGCGTTTAATGTGACAAGTTTAGTTAAACACGATCGCATCGAGACGATTACGCATTAGTAAGTTTGGTGGCTCCTCTAATATCCATTGTAGGAAACTGGTCTAATGATATTTTAATTTATTCTTTCAGATGCTACTGAAAAAGAAGCCTATGACATCATGAAGAGCTGCGTGGCCGAGATCCACAAGCGTTTATTTGTCAGCCTACCTAACTTCCAAGTTACAGTGGTAACCAAGGATGGCGTGAAAGAACTGCCTGTCATCAACTCTGCTGCACTCAAGTGATTTTTTAATTTTTTAAGGTTAATATAAAAGGTTTTTTATATTATGATTTTTTTTTATACTTGTTAAAGATTGTTCAAATTTAGAGCAAATGTAAATGACATGGATACATTTCCTTAATTACCTCTAATCCACTATACTGAGTGAAATCAAAGAATCAAAGAAATAAAATGTAAACAAACAACTGTAACTACCAAAGTGACGAGACCTTGTTTGCGGTTAGTTTATTAACAGGTTCTACTTTTCATATTACGGCTATGAATTATAATATTTATAATGGGAAAAATACCCTTTTCGGTTAATTAACTAACAGAACTTTTTAGAATCATTATATGACTTGACTTGATATGACGAAATGAGAATTACCGCAGGTATGGTGCAATGAAAACGTAACATAGATTTTTATTTAGATTAGGAACATCAGCTCTATATAGTTTTGTTTTTGATATCAATGGCTAATATGTCATTACCTTTAGTTTTTACTCTGAAATGATGTACTATGAAAGTACATAATTTTGTATAAACCAAAAGCCTAAAAGTTTTTTCCACTATTGTTCAAAAACTATAATAATAATATAATAGTAAAAAGATCCTGTCGATGCAGCTTGGTTTGGTGAGGATGGAAACCGACGGCCTGACCCATTATCCATCTTTTTAATTTTTATTATTTATATTGTAATTAAAACCGTTTTAAGATCTATCCACACACATCCGGGCCGTGGCCGTGACGTGGACGGGTCATGCTCCGTCAGGGGCTCAAAAAAATATTGTTGTGTAAATTTTGTATGAACTCGTTCATACATGTCCGGGGTCGGGATGGGCCCGCAGTTCATACAAACTAGCACGCCCCGTCCACGTTCCGGGCACGGCCCGGATATGTGTGGATAGTCCTTAATAATGAATCAACGTATGTAGTATTTTTATGTTATTACTCTTATTAAAAAATATTCTATATAATAAAATATAAAAGTAATAATATTATAACAATAATAATAATAACACTTCTGCTTAAAAGTACGTGAGGCGCACTATAAGTTTCCAGAATGAATGAAAAAAAATACTATAAATGGTCAGAAATGAATTTATTTTTCTCAAAATATTCTCCGTTAATCTCAAAATATTTATACCACTCCTTGACCACCTCTGAAACATTTTTCATACTCTTCGACAGCCTCTTCAGGTGATGAAAATCGTTGACCGCGTAACAGGTTCTTACTTTTTAGAAATAAATAAAATTAACTAGGTGCCCGGTCGGGACTGTACGCGGGATGGCTCATAAGCTCATTTCGGTTCACGGAAGCGTACAGAGCGGACGTGTTCTTATATATTCCGTAAAAATGTATAACCTTGCTTATCGATACTCACTCGTAACACGTAAACAATAAACCAACTATTTACAAGCATGGGGTACAAACGACGCTTCTCCACTGAGTAACCAGTAGCAGCACCTCCTCGCGTAAAAGGGACGGGGTCTTATATTAGAACTCACTCGCGCAACATTGTAAACAACATCTTGTAAGTAAACTGTCACCATAGATCAATATATGAGCGTTCGACATTCTCCTACTGGAAGTGGCTTAAATATTAAATGAAGTGGTTCTTACCTAGATATAGCTAACAAAAACACAACTTCCGATTTTGCTGAAAGAGCACCGATAACTTTTCGCAATAAATGAAAGTTAGCAGAGAATGACGAAATTAAGTCAGATATTGCTGAAATTAAATTTGACTGAAATGAGAAAGCAGATGTTATCGATGCAAAATCAAATGAGCGAATTGATGGCATGCCTTACCTCAAATAATAACATGCAAATCGAAAACTTTAATAACTTAAACAAAGATATATCAGTTATAAAGGAACAAGTTAGCAACATAAAATCAACTACAAATAAACTAACTTCCGAACAAGATAATCTGAAGAAAGAAACAACAAGCATACAGGATTTTAGAAACACCACAGAAGTACAAATGGAGTCCATACAATCTACACTTAAGCAAATAAATTTAGTCTCAAAATGTTCATAATCCACTTTTCTACAGACTCAGGAAGAAATAGTTACTGAGATTAGCGAACCTAACGTGAGATACAAGAACATAATTATGTCAAGTATTGCTGAACCAGTCTCCACAGACCCTCAAAATAGATGAGAACAAGATAAGACTGAACTCCTTAGCATACTAAGAAAAAGTTATTCTGGATGTCCTGGACCGGAAAGATTTAGCCGCCTGGGAAAGTACCAACCTGATAAAAAGTGATAATTAAAAGTGTGTTTCACTTCTCAAGAAACGGCTCTGCATATACTAAAGGACAAGAGACTAATGAAACAGAATGACATAAAGATCTTCTCAGATAAAACACCTCAACAACAAGCATATATGAAGGTACTTAAAGAGGAACTTGATAATCGCACTAGTAATGGTGAAAAAAATCTCTGTATAAAATATGTTAAGGGTGTGCCTAAAGTAGTTACTGCCACTCCAAAAAACTCCAACCCCTAGGTGTACCGAACGTCAGCAAGAAAAATTATAACTAATTCATATGAAGTAGTTAGTGGTTATAGTAATATAAAACCAAACAAAAAGTCTCTTAAATGTCTATATGCCAACACTCGAAGTATTGTTAGGTCTGGTAAGTTTGATGAACTAACATGTATAATGCAGTCTTTTAACAATATTATTCTTATAGTTATATTATCAGTAACATGGATAAGTTCCGATGATGATGCCAAGAGACTGTACTTACCAGGATACACTCATTACTACAACTATGGACTACGGACAAAACATCAAAGGAGGAGGAGTCTCAATATTTGCACACAACAATCTTACACATAGCTTAATTGAAAAACAATCTGTAAACGACAATCACTATTTGTGGATACACATAGACAAATTTGACTTAGACATAGGTGCAATCTACAAACCTGCGCGAACAAATAACAATGATTTTCTAATTTATTATTCGACACAGCTAGAAAAAAGGAAGAGAGCTAATATTTGGAGAGAGAGAGATAATATTTGGAGATTTTAATTTTGATTTACTTAGTTCGGATAAATTGATTCAAAGTTACAAGGAGAAAATTAGAGAGTGAGGTTACTACATAATCAACAAAATCGACAAACGCTACAATACCCGTGCAACAGATACTACTAGTACTAGAATATGTATGCTCAAACATGAAACGGAGTCCGTTTCATATGGCCATCATAGCATCAAGTATGTCATATCACAAGTAGGTTTATTTTGAAATAAAGAATTACAAAGCTGAACCAATAAAGACCATGAAATACGATGCCATAGACTACGAAAAACTTTATAATACATATGAAACGGTAAAAAATATAGCCTGAATATAAAGCTCTAGAACAAAATCCAATATCCAGCATTAACACAAGCAAAATTACCAAAATAAAAAAATAATCCTCCGATACAAGACTGGGTAAAGAAAGAAATATTAGATGCAATAAGGAGTAGAAAAGAAATGTACCAAAAACACAAACTAAACCCAAAAGACGAAAAGATAGAACAAGATTATGTAACGAAAAGAAAAAGCGTGGTGGACATAATACAAAAATCAAAAGTTGAATACTATTACAAGGCTTTCAAAGATTGTAAAAATAAACCTAATAAAATGTGGTCACTTATAAATACCCTCTCCCGTAACAAAGTAAATGAGACCGCTGTTCCACCCAAATTACAGATTGGTACAGATGTAATCACTGAAGAACAAGAGATCTGCGAATGTTTCAATGATTACTTCTCGAATATAGGAAAAGTCTTTGCAAATGCAATACCATCACACCTATCACCAGCAACCACAGATGAAGTTTTAAAAATTTGTAATCATTTGAATAGTAACACGTTCTTAGGTGTTGTATAAGCACTAAAGCAATTAAATGTGTTAAAAAGAAATGAATAAATTACTAGCACTAATAAAAGAAAAGTAAACATACCATCTGTAATGATATAGATTTTTTATTATTTGTTGTCTTTGGTAAAATACTAAAAATAAATAAAATTTTAATTAATATACTGAGCCATATCTAGTATAAGCAGCGGGCGTAGTCTGTTAGTACATCCATGGTTGCGCTTATAGTTTGCACCTGAGATCGTGTTGCCTGTTATTATATTAGAATGCGGGTAAAACTTTATTATTTCATAGTTGAACTACCGTCCTTGTACGCTTTCTAAAGAAAAAAAAATGTAATATGTCTCTCTGTGTTCTCATGTAAGTGAGTTGTTTATAATTCTTAGAATAAATGTCACCACAAACAAATGGTCGTGTACCAATCACTATTCACGGTACAACGATTCTCCAAAGCAACAGTAACCACGTAGTAACCACGAGGCACTTTGCACGCGCGTCACTTTGGTTGGTTTTGGCTCATCTCGAAAGACCCATACGCTCGATTGCTGCTTTGTTTTGGGATCGTAACTATAAATCCATGTTTCGTCACCTGTTACTATGTCCCACACTAAATTTGACGCCCCTTCGTTGACTCTGGTAAGCATGGCTTTGCACCAAATGACGCGATCCGTCTTTTGAGCCTCAGTCAAATTGTGTGGGATCCACCGAGAACACAGCTTTTTTACACTCAAATGTTTGTGTAGTATTGATTGTATTTGACTCATGCCTATGCTTAAGATGCCCGAAAGTCATGGTATGTCACGTGCCTCTCTGTTTTGATCATACAGCGCACAGCATCGATGTTTTTGTTGTTCACAGCAGTGGACGGGCGACTATCACGAAATTCGTCACTGAGATTCACACGACCGCGTTTGAATTCTGCAAACCAGCTATAAATAGTCGTCTTGCATAGTGCTTCATCGCCAAAAGCAGTTTGAAGCCGAGAGAAGCTCCGCTGAGCTGTTGAATTACACTTAAAATCGTAGAAAATCATACTACTGTAACCTGGGGCGTAGCTTAGGTTGCGTAGTGAGAGGAACTTTATAAATATAAACTGGGATAATCTTCAAAACTTGATATTTATTGTACTTTTTTACATGTTCACTTATGGAGGCTATTTCTAGATCTGCCAAGATGTTCGTTTCTCTATCCTATTTTATTAAACATAATACATTATACATTCTACATACAAAACTATATTCACTCAGCC